GGTTGTGTGTCTGAATCGACGATCGCCAACCTTTTCCCCGTTAACTGTGTGCGCAACGAAACCAGGCAGCTTAACTGTTCTACGGGACCGTTGAAGCCTCGAATCCATCACTATACTCGAGGGGCGCACGGGACAGGTGAAAGAGTCCACTGAAAGCTGCAGCCGAAACACAAGCGAAGTGAGAAGAAGGGAGTCAAGGAGAACAGCCTCCCCAGGCCAACGAGGAGAAGCAGGACCAGCGGAAGATGTAAAACGTCGGCGAAGCGTCGGCAAGGCAGCGGCAGGTGAAGGGGCCCCGAAGACAGCGAAGATAAAAGTATCAGCGTAAGGTAGGAGTGTCGTATGCCCAATCTACAAAAAAGGGTGACAAATTGGATTGCTGCAACTACCGAGCGATCACACTGCTTAGCGCTGCCTACAAGGTACTCTCCCAAATTCTATGCCGCCGCCTGTCACCATTTGCAAGACAGTTCGTGGGGGAATACCATGCAGGATTCATGGGTACCCACGCTACCACGGACCAAATTTTCGCGATTCGTCTGGTTCTTCAGGAATGCCGTGAATACAACGTGCCCTCACATCATTTGTTCAGAGATTTGAAATCCGCATACGACACAATCGATCGAAATCAGCTATGGCAGGTTATGCACGAGTACGGATTTCCAGATAAAGTGACGCGATTGGTCAAGGCGACGATGGATCGAGTGATGTACGTTGTTCGAGTATCGGAGACACTCTCAAGTCCATTTTAATCTCGAAAGGGGATTACTGCAAGGTGATGGACTTTCATGTCTGCTATTCAACATCGCGTTAGAAGGTGTGATCAGAAGAGCAGGGATAGTTACGAGTGGCACGATCTTCAGAAAGTCCATTCAGCTTGTTGGCTTCGCCAATGGCACTGACATCATGGCGCGGCACTTTAAGACGATGGTGGAAACGTACATCAGACTGAAGGCTGAAGCTAGGTGGATTGGACTTGGCATCAACGCATCAAAGTCAAAATACATGAAAGAAAGAGGTTCTAGGGAAGACAATGTTAGTATCCCACCCCGAGTTCAGATTGACGGTGACAAAATCGAGGTGGTCGATGAGTTCGTATATTTGGGCTCACTGGTGACCGTCTAAAATGATACCAGCAGAGAAAATCAAAGACGCATTATGGCAGGGAATCGTGCCTGCTTTGGACTCCAGAGGACACTCCGGTCGAATAAAATTCGTCGCCACACAAAGTTGACTGTCTACAAGACGCTGATTAGACCGGTGGTCCTCTACGGCCACGAAACCTGGACTATGCTCGTGGAGGACCAACCTTGGTGTTTTCGAACGGAAGGTGTTGCGTACCATCTACGGTGGAGTACAGATGGAGGAGGCGAATGAACCACGAACTGCACCAGCTGCTGGAGAATCATTCATCGTCGCCTTTGCAAAAATTGGGTGACTATGGTGGGCTGGGCACGTCTTAAGAATGCCGCACGACGATCCAGTTAAATTGGTTCTAGAAAGCGACCCAACAGGATCAAGAAGAAGAGGCGCGCAGCGGGCAAGGTGGATCGACCAAGTAGAAGGCGACCTAAAGACCCTTCGCACACTACGAGGCGACTTCTTCGGACAGCAGAGGACAACAAGGCCAAAGCCTGATTGGTAAGGTAAGTAAGCAAGGTAGGAGTAGACCAGTAAGGAAGTGGGAGACTTCAGGTTTTAGACCGTCCGTGAAGCGGGAAGGAAGTGAGTGTTAACCAAAAGCGAAAAAGCGGGAGTTTTATCCGTAGTGAACGTAAGTGTTTTCTTGGTTCGCGGGATGGTCACGAGCGTGTGCCGACCCTGATGCTTGAAGACGGGGGTCTCATTATTGCTAATAGTAACACACCACTGGCACGTTACACATTGGTCGAAGATGGGGTTTTCGCTATGCACTTGGTCTAGTCAACTGAATTTGCATCAAAGGGCGGCAGACCACACGCTCGAAAGCCATTCTGAATTGTAGTGCTCTTGATTGCCCTTTCAACCACTGTCTGTTTTTATCATTTGCCATCACACGCAAGGAGTAGCGCTTCAACCCAGTGTATGTAGATGAATTGCGTTCGTTTTGAATATCTTCGCTGTGAAGTACAAGCGAAACGAACAAATGAGTTTATTATACATCAATGAATACGCGTTTGTTGATATTCACCACTGCTTGATTATCCAAACTAAAATTGTCAAAATCAGAAGCGATCCTAAAAGGCAAAATAATCAAATTCATTTTGGGCGAAATGATTTTTTTGAATATTGTCGACTCCAGAGCCTAAAACCATAGAGGTAACTCTAAGACCAGAAGGTCCCGAAGAAACGAGCTCAATTTTTTGGCTCAGCTCAGGTACTATCTTCGGTCCCAAGCTAATCGATTCACCCCTCGAAACATCGGAAAAACCAATAACCCCTCATTTTATCTGTCAAACTTTCATAGCGAATCAAAACAAACATTGCGTAGTACTAGAATTTCGATTAGAATGGGGTACGTTAATCGTTTGCTTGGGACCAATAGGCTAGTCAAGTAGTGAGCCAATTTAAAACCGTTAGTTTCGTATTGATTGTTGCTAAAACCTCGATATTATCATCAATTCAGCATGAGGCAATATTTTTCCATCAATCTGTGTATAATGCCAACACAACACGTTCAACAGCGTCATATTTGTGTAAAATGAAAATAAACATTTTGCATTTGATCCTCAAAATCATCCCCATCAAGATGAAGATGAATATTGATATTGACAACAACACAGGCGATAATAAAGATCCAGCCACGAATGAACAAAAACAAACGTTGATTTTGATACTCAGAGGTTGCCTTGATCAAGAGAATGTGTTTATGTCAAAATTCAATTTCATGCAGGTAGTTGGTCTATCTGTTAAGGTTGTCTTCATTTTCAGCTAAGTTGAGTGTAGAAGGAATGATTTTTATCAGCACTGCTTTCAACTGCTGTATTGTGAACCCCACTAAAGTGCCGCAGTGTAAGTGACTCACCCTGATGTTCCAATCTCCATTCTTCAACCACTTTTCTCCATTCACTTTTTAGCGGTTTAAAAACGGGAACATCAGCTGGCTGCGTTATATGCGTCGTGTTTGGATACAGACAAATAAGCACTATTCCTAAGGACTGGCATATATCCGCTACTTCCACCGCTTTGTATGAAGAATGACCATCGACGAAGTAAATGATTGGAAACTTCAAACCTTGTTTCACGAGGAATGGATGGAAGTTTTTTAGGATGTATTCATGAAAGTTATGCGTGTCTATCCATCCACGTTCACTCTGACCCAGGCCCCAATGTGATGGAAAACCTTGTGCCAATTCTTTTCGGATGCGCTTTCCCGGAATCGCTTAGTCTTTACCGAATGGTGGAGATGGTTATCCCAAACTCTTTGCATTCGGCATAAACTGATATTCCAGCTTTAATGCTTCGGATGCATGATATGATAGGTTCTTCGGAGTATTGTTTTCATGCTGATCTTTTCGGCATTCTAAATAAAGCATAATTGTCTATAATTGTGCTTATCACTGTGTAAAATCTATGTTGTGTATGTGATGGCCGGTGCCGGTGGTGTAGTGGTAAGCGTGACTGGCCTCTCACCCCAATAGGTCTGGGTTCAATCCCAGCCGAGTTCGGTGGGATTTTTCTGAGGCATAAACATAACATGTCTTCCTTCGGAAGGGAAGTAAAGCCGTTGGTCCCGGCCCATGTGTGTTGAATGGGTACAATATCCTACACAGGTGTGGAAGCTGCTTTCCTGCACATTCGATTGCCGTCAATGTATGGCAATCGGTGTCCATCGGTGATTGGCACTAGATTACGGAACAGAGACCGACGTTAAATAAAGGTATGAAGTCATACCTGAGATCAGAAATCCTGCGTTGAGAACTTAACTAAACACTTGCCTTTCCAAGTACAACACTCATGTAAACATGAAGCAATGGCTAAGATTGACAGATCGCTGTAGGTACTTTCGCTGGTAGCGATAATGGGTACACGGAATGAAAACCCATTATGGTGATACTCGAAAATTATATTTATTCGACATATTTCAAATGCTTCAGTTGCTAACACGAACAACGAGCATGTGCATGAAAAGTCTACAAAAAGGCTTATTGTTTTAGAAAAAAATCAATATGCAGTGGGTTGTAATGCCTGGAACATATATTTCTATACAATTAATATATGCAGGAATGTCTGAAAATACACTGGTAAGCATTAGTCGATTGATCATGTGAAGTTTTTTTTTTCCAGATAATTTGTTAAATGTCTTCACTATAGCCATAATTGGTACTATAGCTGTAACTGGTCCATTCACCCTGGCTGAAATTGCATAAAATTCTTAGGATTCTGGCACTTTGAAAGTGTTTATGATTTTGAATGTATTTGGAAACGCAGACCTAGTATGAAATTTTCAAGATTCATTCCTTGAAAACAAGAAATTATGCAAACAGCTTTCCTGTTTCCATATCCCATAAAAAGATAGGAAAGGTCTTACGAATAAAATCTCGAAGGTTTATGCATTTCTTTTGAAACCCTAAAAAATCTATTTCTACCCAGCTCCATGTGTTCACCGGGAACCCCCTCATCATTGCTCATTGACTGTATTTTATTTTTCAATTATGTGTGAATCGTTTTATCATCTGTTTGAAGAACACCTTTTTGACAATTTAGTCAAGTGGTACAACTCATCCAGATGATAAGCAATTTTTGTTTTGCTGAACAGTATATACAACTTATTCGATATGAATCATTGGTAGCACCAAGTGTGTGTTTTGGAGGCTGTGCACAACGGTAAATAACACCGGTGCTTATTTTCATTCATTCCTAAAAATCTATCATTCTGCAAACAGCTACCAACAACACCTCGGAAGATACAAAGCGAGCCGATAAGATAACATTCGACGAGCACCTTCAGAAGGGTGCAGTATATTCTTCTCAAATGGTGATACAACAAGGTGCTATAAAATAGAAGTCCATCAGCGGTTCCGATATCAGTTCCGACTTTGCAGCCGATAGAAAGTGAAACTACGATTGTAAAGTGCCCCCAATATCGTAATTTTTTTCAACCATGAAGACTCTAGTGTTGGCCGCTGTTCTGATCTCCTTCGGTGCTCTGGTATTCAGCCAGAGTCACAACTACTTCTGGGGATTCAAGGGGCCGTACGATGTCCTTCTGAATCGGACCTTCGCCATCAAGTCGTCTTCCATTCTCCAAGTGAAGACAATGGATCTTATCTACCCACTGAAGGTTGGTTCTCTGAACAATCACCTTTTTTTTTCATCGATACTAAATGAACTCATTTTGCCTCATTACAGGGTCAACTGGGTCGTAACATTTCGGCCATCAACATCACCGACCAGTACATCAACGGCAAGGGTGGATACGCTAGTCTGCTGGCCGGCGGCATCGGTTACAATAACACGACAATTCATTTGAAATCACAGCGGGGCAACGGATTCAGCTTTATCGTGGAAATTTATGGCCGATAATCTATTTAGTAGTCAGTCGCTTTGGTGTGTCTGCAACGCGCGCCAAAACAATTAGGAATATGTGAGGGATTTTGGAGGATTACTAGTTCCGGTTTGTGCAAGCAGGAAGCGGTGGCTCGCGTGCGGATCGGAATGAAATAATTGTGCTTTCGGTGGATGCTTGTCGACGGAAATGGATCGATATACACTGATTCTATACCATGGAATCATAACGGGAAAAGTGTGTAATTTATTGAATGGTATTAAGATCTGTAATAAAGAAGGGATTATGCAACCATGCAACTTTATTGGATTCGAGCCTTTGCGTACTGACATTTTGTATAATAAGCGAGCTATAACTGTACCGATCTTAATCCGTTTGTGAATCGGTCTTTTTGAAGTACACAAGTTAGAAGTTATACTCATCAATACATACCGAAAAGCAGATTTTGAATTATTTTACAAATCTGTAAGGCCATTGGGACGACTAATTCAATTGCCGATTAGGTCTTGGATTTTTTTTCGGGTTGAAATATGCCACAATAGATCACAAACAAGATATTTTCTCAATTTAGCGGATGATATTTGTTTCCATAATTTTCATATGTTTCATATTTTTCGAAACACATTTTCTTATCCCTAGGGAATCGATTCAATAAATTAGATTGGCTTGACTCCTAGTCATAGTACAATCACAAATACCTTTAGAGTTTTCATTGGGACACATTCGGCAGTGTCTGGGATTGTTTCAAATTAATTAAAATTCAACTGCATTGCATCAATCCAATAGATTATTTCAACAGGAAATAAATCGACTTAAGGGTTCGCACTCGGTAATTAGACGCTTCTGCAGTCGTTTCGTCGTCAATCGTCGTCGCTCCTTACCATTTGAACACTAACTCTTGGCAAATGGGTACCAGCAGCAGGCTACCGAACGAAACTCAAACTTTCGACAATCTGTCTTCTTCGAGAAATTCCATCGAAAACATCAGGTGGCTAACTTGAAGCCAGAAGCGAGCTTAAGAATTGTTCGAGAAGGTTTCGGAAAACATTACACTCAACCCTTTTTTTAACACGGGTACATTTTCCAATTTTCTATTTCTGTGTTCAAATTAGAACATTTCTATGATTTTTTTTTTTGGATTTTTGACACCAGTTACATTGAGCTTGGTTCCATTAGAATATCGAAAAAAGGAAATTAAGGTCGCGTATAAAAAGGATTGGGTGTACTGATTCCCAATTTCGATAGGATATGGGTTGCTAGTAGAAAAGGTAAGCATGACCGAGTGATTTCATAGACTCATTATTTCCCTGAGGAAGCATTTGAACAGAACACAGAACTCAAAAGATTCCAGATTCATTGTTCCAAAAAATTAAACTCACAATAACTGATAATTGCAATAAAGTTCTGTTTGATTCTCGGCTGATTACAAATTCATATTTTTACCAGATCTAATAGAAATTCCACCCATCCCAGACGCCGGTGTTGTAATTCCGACAAAGATAACAGTTATTATTGTTAGGTTTGCACTTGCCGGCACTGATGTGAATACACAATGCCCGCTTATATATATATATATATATATATATATGATAAAGAATGTACACACCAAAAGTTGGTCATGGAAAAAATCGTTTCAAAAAACTACAAGGGACAGCCCTATGGGGTTGTACGCAATGGTGACGTAAGACTACGTGGTCTTATATCATAAATGGTAATGTGTATCTTTATTGTGCCAGGTATTAATCTGAACCAGATTTTAATTATTTTCCTTACCTCATTTTTATATTTTGATTTTCTGTTCTATTTACTATCGTACAGATTTGTCGTACAAGCAAAAGCAATACTTTTGTGCGCCGAATCTGACGAAATATTGCTTGGAGCCAATGCCCATGATTGTGCTGGGTAATTTTAACATGGACCTTATGAACGATGGGAACTTGAAGTTCGTCGAGTTCATGAAGAAATATTTGCACCTGGACATGAATCGTGAGTGGACTTAATTTTCGTTCGCAACGTCCGTCTTGACAGTAAAAAGTATAACTCTTACACGTTAAATCATCGCCCACTGTTGTCACTTTTCGAGTTCTAGGCTGTTAAATCGGGGCGTTTATCATCGTTGCCAATCGGCACCGTACCGTAGTGTGAGCCAACAGTAAAGCCATGCTGTGTTCATCAGAACTCATCTGACAAATCAAGCGGCATTTGAATTTCTATCTTCTCAATGCAATAAGGCAGTTCTGTGTCAACCATATAAGATCACCATAAATACTTCTTTGTACGGTTACGCTGGACACGGGTTGACCCGGAGGTTGGAAAGGCAGCGCTAGCCTTCATCGCTACGAGAAATGGGCACTAAGAGAGCCCAGTTACTTCAGGATTAGAAGCTTGGTTACTACCGTTTTGCTGGTTCCAGGAATTTCATTCATGCCAAGATAAGTAGAATTCCTAAACAATCTCTTTTGAAATTAGTTGGTGGCCCTGAACAGGGCCGTTTTGGATGGGGAAAATGAACGAAGCTTAACCAAATGTGCGTCCCTGACGCTTCAGGTAACAGCGCCACGAATGACGTTTTGCAGCAACACCTTACCTTGAGCACACTCCGGTTTTAGATCAGACCGCAGATACGCTTGACATCAGCACGACGAGCCAGACGACGGACTGTGGACTTGGTAATACCCTGTAAGTTATCATGCAAACAACTGCCGAATCCTTTGCCTCACTTGCCACGTCCAGTCATTGTTTATGCTGTTGATGCTTCTTCGGGTAAGGTTGAAACGAATATGACAAGAAATTCCGATTTTCGGCTTTTTTATACCTACTCGAGGGTTAAATTCTTGTTGTTGTTGTGTTCTTGTTCTTTCATCGTTTATGATTGGTTGAACATAGCAAAAGCATGTTATAAAAGAGAATAATAGTCAGAGAAAAATTTTATTCAACTGATTGCATTCAACGTATCCACATCGTATAATGGCCGCACCAAGCAGACAGCTCGTAAGTCCACCGGAGGAAAGGCTCGTCTCAAACAGATGGCCACCAAGGCTGATGTTAGAGTTTGATGTGACCATCCCCTCCTTTCCAAACAATTTCCAGCCATTGTGTCCCAGTCTTATTATCCTCCTGTTCCAGTGCTACTTGCCCCTGCCCAGCCAGGATTTGGTCAACCGTCCGAGAGTAGTATCTGAAGGAGGCTTCAGAAACCCGTTTCCTACCTAGCTCCTTCCAATCGAGATTGTTACCCATTAACCTCGAGCCCGCCACGAGTAATTTGTACCCAAATACTAACCTAGAACTACTGCTATTTAAAATGTAAATTCAAACATTACTGATTTTGACTCCACAAAGTGTCACACACGACTGAGCCTAGTAAATAAACGAACTAGTTAAAAAAGGCAGCTTGCAAAAGCGCTTCAGTCACCGGAGGAGTGAAGAAGTCTCATCGCTACCGGCCAGGAACTGTCGCTCTGCGTGAGATCCGTCGTTACCAGAAATCGACAAGTTGCCTTTCCAGCGTCTGGTCCGTGAAATCGCCCAGGACTTCAAGACCGATCTGTGAAGAGCTCGGCCGTTAATGGCCCTACAGGAATCCAGCGAGGGATATCTGGTCGGTCTGTTCGCCATCCACGCCAAGCGTGTCACAATTATGCCAAAGGACATTCAGCTGGCTCTTCGTATTTGTGGTGAACGCTCTTAATTTCTCCATTGAAATCTAACAAAACCGGCCCTTTTCAGAGCCACTAAAAGATTCCACAAGAGAGTTGGGAAGGAAATTTCTGCTACTTACAACTGATCGCATCACAGTGAATCCTGATCTAAAAATTTCAACCAGCAAGTGCCCTAGAACCAAAAGCGGTGCGATGCTATGCCGATGACTGTAAGGGGCTTAGAAGCAGCAGGCTGATGACCATGGCTTCCTACTTCGCACTATTTCTGCTATGCTCTTCTATCATCCACAACAACAAACTTATCAATGAATGTGTTTGCCGTCGAGTTAACGTTTTCTGACCGCGCACTTCGTAGTTGCTCCTCCATGAATGATCAGAACTAACCACTTCCACAGAGAACTACATAGATGGTGCATGGGATAAGCTTTCCATCTTCAATGTACAAGCACATTAATTTAATCTATAAATCAATTCACAGCGCCGGCCACGTCCTCACGGTCTTTTGGGGGGAGGGAAGGATGATAAGTTCGACGTCCGGTTGTTACTAGAGACCGAGAATACCTCTACATCTCCACGGCTGTCTCGGGAAGGATAGTTGTGTTAGAGAGGTAGGTTATTTTAAGATCAGGATTCACTGTGGTAAGTGATGCGATCGGTTAAAGCAGAATTTGTTTTTATTTAAATATAATGGGAAAAAAAAAAATGCAAGGAAGGGACAGGCCTGGGATTGAACTACCTACTTTCTGCTCAGTAAGCAGAAACGGTAACCACTGAACTACCGAACCTCGTCGTAATGCTACATCGACATGTTTCGTCTAGGAATTATTCTCTGATGACTGTGTTGGGCAAACAGCATATGTATGTACGTAATTGGTGGATTTGTTAGTTAATTCGACGCTTTTGGACAATGCTGGACATTTACCAATTTTTCAATAGTTTTTTTTTGTTGAAAATCAGCATATCGATGCGTAGTCATTAGACTGATGCAAATTTTGACATTTTCGCTCCACAGTGCTCAAACAGTTCCAAATCGGGTCCTGATTAGTCTCCCAAAATTTGAACTCATTTGAAAAGAAACTGACTTCACACAAACCATTTGAAATTAATATGGGAAAACCAAATGTTTTGTTCATATCCATCTAACAATTTACCATATAGCTCTGCTTTAAAAAATGATAACTGAGCTCGTAGAAAATTTTCTCAGCTACAACTTTGTCCTGAACCACTTTTCAATATAATGTTAGCATCAAAAGTTATCAATAATTCAAGCCACTAATGTCTTACGATTATGCTCAATCAACTGTTCAGCAGGCAACATTGGTGTTTCTGGCGCTTGGAATAGAGCACAAAAATCATGGCTACTATGTCACTCTGCAAGATACAGTGTTGCTCACAAAACAGCTGCTTGATCATGCCATAAGATTATCAATCTCTTAAACAATTAATAACTATTTTATTTGACGTTTGGCTTAACAACTACATTGTGCTAAGTTGAAGCTGAGAAAATTTTCCATAAGTATAGCTTTTGAATTTTTGAACAGTGCCATATGGAAAAAGGTAAGAAGGCAATGAACAAAAAGTTTGGATTTCCCATAGTAATTTCCATATAAACTTCAAATGGTTTGTGCCAAGT